TACAATCAATGTGAGAAGGGGAACGAATAGCTCATTTCTGAAATAACTTTGAGATAGTGTTTCAAATAATTAAAGAGGTTTTAAGACCATCTATTATTCTTAATTTTGTAGCTGTCTGTACTAGACTTTCACATAGAATCCTGAATTATTACATAGAGCAAGGATGATTCAGACACCTTTGAAAAAGAATTCAAAAGGAAAATATGAATTATTAATATTTGTTATTAAAAGGTTTTGACTATTTTTAAATAACTTACTATTCTACCTACTTTAGGTATATCATGAATTACCAGCTAAGTGAAAAAGAATTATTATACAGTAACATCCCTTTTAGTCTCAGAAACAGTTTTGGAAATTCCAGGTCTTACAGCTATCAGTAAGACTGCTTTTGAACTTGTCCTTGGCCATCAGTATTTTGGGACTGAATATCAGTAGATCAAAAATGCTAGAATTGTATCCTTATCAAACACATACATAATTTTTATTGTCATTATTCCCTAAATAATGGAGCATAATAGTTGTTTAAATAGCATTTACTTTACAATAGGTACTATAAGCAATTTAGAGATTTAAAGCACAAAGGTGAGTGCATTGGTTATGAGAAAATGTATTTTATATAAAAGGGACTTGGGGGGCTAAAGAGATGGCTCAGCGGTTAAGAGTGCTGACTGCTCTTGCAGAGATCCCAGGTTCGATTCCCAGCACCGAAATGGTGGCTAAAAAGTGTGCATAACTGGAGTTCCAGCGCATCCGACGCCCTCTTTTGACCTCCTTGGGTATTGCACAGCACAGGTGCATTTATATACGTGCAAGTAATGCACTGACATACATAAAAAAATACGTACAACAAATGAAATATTCTTATAAAAGAAACTTGGGAGTCGGAGCAGTTTTGTCCCTTCGAGCTCCTGGAAATAACTTATTTTGTAACCAATGGATGACAAAAGACTATTTTGAAAGTCTATTTTACTCTCTGACATAATATGAAATTCCCAAAATTCATGAGACACTTTTGAGTAGCGTATAAAGTGAGAAAAATGGAATTTGTGAATTTTTATCTGACTAATAGTGTTTTTTAATGGATATAGCATTTGCTCGTGATCCATGACACTTTCATGATTACAAAACTCTGGAAATTCCGTGTGTGTGTGTGTGTGTGTGTGTGTGTGTGTGTGTGTGTGTGTGTGCGTGATGCTGGGAATAGAAACGAGGGCCTCATACCTGCAAGGCATACACTTTACCAACAAGCCATATCCCTTTCCCAGTTTCTAGAAAATTATTACAAAATTTCTCTCATCTTCAAAGGTAGTTATTGTATTTAAATGAGTCTAAATAATTTTCACCTTATTATAGAAATCATATATAATCTAGCATTTCTTTAAAATGTAACTGTTATTCAAAATGTGATGTTCTTTTCTATGTTTAAGATTTTCTCCACTTTTCCCCCAGATTTTCTGCTATCACTGAACAAAATACAATACTAAGTGGCGGGCATGGACTAGGCCTGAAGTCCCTACTGAATTCATGGGGTTTTTTCCACAGTCTCATAGCTCTAAAATTTCCACCTCAGTTTAATTGAGTACATGTATTTCATGCAGTGAGATAGTCTGTGAAGCTGTTACCTTTGCTTGATGACACTTCAATTTCTAATACCCACTTTCATTACTTGAGGTTGAAGACCCAGGACTGGAGTACAGATAAGGGATAAACCATTTGCCTGGCATCCACAGGCCTTAGGTTCGATGCCAACACTGAAAAAATATAGAACAATATTATCATGGGCAATTTTATCTTTTTTGCATAACTTCCCATTCAAAATGGTATATACCCTATAATGAAGAAATGGATATTCTAAAGCCAGCACACTAGGATGTTGTGCAAAGCTTGTTGCTTCACGCTTGCTATTTGCATGTTTAACTCTTACCACACAAAATCCTATATAGTCCCCCATCTTCTACAAATGGTTGTTGCAATATGCTAATGCGATTTTCTTTTATTCTTGATGTTCCTTTCTTGTACATAGCAATATCTACTGTATGAAACCTTTATGCTAAATAATCAGATTACATTTGATTATATTAAGCAAAGTCTTTGAAGGAATACTAGTGAAGGACCTTGGTAGTTTTGCATTCATTAGCTTTGTTGCCAAAGTTCATGATCTGTGGTATACAGCATACTAGCAGATATTATAAAGAGAGGAATCATGGAGGTTTACCCCAGAGGAAGAGCCTCTGCTCCCAAATGGGCAATGAAACATGATTTCCCAATTTCATCACTATTATTTCCTCAATCTCATACACAGTTGATAGCTGTTTCAGGTATGCCATTTAGATATACCAGGAACAACAAAGATTATTATGACAACGAACTAAATTTTGGTGTGTCTGTATCTGCTCACCCAGGCTTAGGAAAGCTTTAAACTCATGCAGAAATATTTCAATGGAAAAAATTGCTTTGTATTACAAAGGGGGAAATGCTATTTCTTTTCTTTCTTTTCTTTTCTTTTCTTTTCTTTTCTTTTCTTTTGTTTCTTTAGAGACAGGGTCTCCCAGTTGCCCAATCTGGTATAGAACTCACTATGTAGACCAGACCAGATTGGCTTTGATCTCACAGAGACAGTCCTGCCTCTACCTCACCATGCTGGGATTAAAAGCATGTGCCACTACACCTGTTTTGAAAACTACTATTTGTGAAGAGTAAGTTCAAAGAATTATTTGATTCATGTGGGATTTATCTTGCACGGATGAAAAATTACAGGAATAATTAAAAGCAACATATGAAAGATTTGTAATTAAGGGAGCAGGTTAGATCTAGGGGAAAAAGGAAAATCAAGTTAGTGAAGGAGGGATTAAAATCTAAGTTGGTCAGGTTCGCTAATCCATAGATAATAGTATGTAATTTGAATAAATGAGATTTATAGTTGTAAAAATTCAAACTACATTAAAATCATGATTCTTTTGGATAAATTAAGAGAGCTTACCACTATCTTTTACATACATACACACATACACACACACACACATACACACACACCTGTTTTTCTGAATAGAGGTTATTGAGAAATATGAAAATTGAAAATGTATTTGTGCAATTCTGAAACCTGTCTAAAACTAACAGGAATATTGACTTTTCCAAGACATCCTGTGACCCAGTTTTTGGAACTTCCCAGGGCAATCTCATGCTCATGTTAATAAATGTTAGAAAAGCCTGGGATACATCCTTAAATATAATTATAAATTGTTGACACTTTTCTTCAACATTTTAGAGATTTTAGACTTTATCTAAAAACTCTATTTATATTACCAGGCATTACTTACTTGAAAATATCCCATTTTCCTCCTATCTTTAATATCAGAACTTTGAAATGTCATGAAATTACCTGAATTTACTCATTCCTCTTCCTTATCCCCCACAGGACTAAATTTCACAGATGAGCATGTAGGTCTATTTTCTGTTACTAATAATAAATACCAAGACTAGAAAAATTATAAAGTAAAAAGGTTCATTTTGACTGATGTTTCTAGTACCTATCCTGTATCTGATGCACATGGCTTCTCCTAACACAAAGCTTGCCCCGTCTTCTTCCAACTGAGTCCAGCTGGTCAGTTTATTCTTTCAATTACTGTGAAAATTTTTCATCTGTATCTCTAAAACCTTAACAGTTTTAGATTTTATGTTTTAAATATTTCAAATTAATTATTAATACACTGTGACATTCTGTATGTAATTACCATTGCTTCAGCATCATTTGCTGATTACAAGTGAGGATAAATAGGCTATAGGACTTTTCTCTTTATGAACGATGTTATAGCTTTAGATCTTTGGATCCTCTAAAACACTGCTTCGTGTTTAATTTTTACTCTTAACTTTGCAAAGCACTCATGTTACTTAGGTCAAGTGTTCTAAGACTCTTAAGAGATAGGTGTTTCCTGTTTACAGATTCAGGAAAGTAAATGATTTATTGATTACTGAAAATATACACACACCACCACCACCACCACCATGAACAGACACACCTCTAAGTCATGAACATTATTTTAGGAAATTTTAGTTTTCCTTTCTCAAATAAACAACACTTAAACTCAAAGAACATTCAAGAACTATACTCAGGGGGCTGGAGAGCTGATTCAGTAGTTAAGAGCACTGACTGCTCTAGCAGAGAACCCAGATTCAGTTCTCAGCACCACATAGTCGCTAACAATAATCGGTAACACCAGTTCCAAGGGATCATATGCCCTCTTCTCATCACAGGCATTTCATGCACATGGTGTACTTACACACATGCATGAAAACACAAAATACACATAAAATTAAGATCTGTTTACTAATATGGTCCTGATAAACAGCTGAAACAATCACTAAGTTTCCACTAAGGTTTCCTGCTTTTTCTGATAAAGGTCATGCACAATTACTGTTACATCTCTGTTTGCATAGATGAGTTTCTTCTAAAATATGCTTTATATTGTATATCATCAACTGAAATAGGTGTTGTAGGTAAGGGCAAAGGATGTTCCTATACTACTGTGACTGACTTCTCTAACCCAGCTGAATACACTCTGTACTGAAGACATGAGGCATTTCCACATCACCTCTTACCCCTGCAGATGCCTTGGATTTGTTTGAATTAAACAGAGGAGTTTGTGGTTACGTACAAAGGTATTATCAGATAGGCTGCTGGACAGAAGAGTCCATTTCTCATTCGTTTCCAGCTTTATTTTCATTTGCTATTTACTCAAATAGATGTGAGGAGAGACTCTAGGAGAATGAGAGTGACTGAGAGACTGAAATCATGGACTCTGCTTGGATTGCAAAGCCAGAAGATATAAACATCTCAAATTATGTTCAAATGTCATAATAAAATTGTCTTCATTAGTATGCACTCTTTCCTTTAGAGGGTATACAAATAGAGGTATCTTAAAAACGTATACATAAAAATATAGGTTGTAAGGTATAGACACACTTGTGGATCTGTTGATAATATCCCCTTCTTTTTGTTGCAGGAGCAGGTGAATCTGGGAAAAGTACTATTGTGAAACAAATGAAGTAGGTATAGAACTATTCATGTGTTGCTTAGTTGATGTGTGTCTGTGTATTGGACACTTCTAAGACAAACGCTTTGGAAGACACTGCCTGGTGACCTTTGCTGCAGCACAGGCGGTGGAAGAGTCTCCATGATTTTTGTGCAAATATTACTTCTCTCATTTAGCAAAGATTGTAATTTCCATTTTTCCCTTTGAATTTGCCTCTTGGAATATATAAATGTATAAACAATAACAGCAGCTATGTTCTAACTACATTAATCTTCAAATGGTCCAGCATTTTTAATACTGTGGATAAAAGCTATAAACATTTCAAATGTATCAATCAATGATCCATTTGAAAATTTGCAGGAATAATATTTTTAAAATCACTGGCATTTTTCTATACTGAATTGAAATTCATGTTTATTATTATCTCTACAATAGATCTTGATGTGTTTTTGCATTCCCTTTTCTTTCTCTTCTTTATAATTGGGTAATTTGACCTAAAATTCTCAGTAAGGAGCGTTAAACAAGTAAAACCACTGTTAATAAAAACTGCAAGGTAAACAAATAAGACGTCGTTCTATAAATTGAGAAGGATGGATGAAGACCCATAGGTCTGTCAGTGCTGGAGAATTCCAGAGAGTAATGAATGCTCCAGAGCAAAGAGAAGGAGGAAGAGAAAGAAGAAAAGAAGAGGCTGTATAGGAGCAGACAGAACAATAGCTGTGTATGGTTTTAAGAGCCCCTTGAAGTGCAGCTACAGCATCTGAGGAACTAAAATTTAATTTTATGTAATTTGGCTAGTGGTTTTCATATGCAGTAGGTAGTGTACACGCTACAACTCCATTTTAGCTCCAGTGAGAGGAGAGATTATGATTCATTCTTTCTTTTTAGTAAATAATGAAGATCTAAAATTCTCAATAAAAGCTTTTTAGTTTGAACAGAACTAGGAACCAACTTAGAGCTAAGTGTGCTTTCTGGCAGAAAATGAATTAAGCAACGAATAGTAAACCTATGTTACTTAAAGTCCTGCTTCAACGAAATATTTTTAAATTATTTTTATTTATTTTTATTTTATGTGTATGCATGTATTGCCTGCATGTAGGTAAGTGCACCCGAGTCTTGCAATGCCCGCGGAGGA